GGTTTGGCTCAGTGGATAGAGCGTCGGCCTGTGGACAGAAGGGTCTCCGGTTCAATTTCAGTCAAGGGCATGTACCTCGATTGCAGGCTCCTCCCCAGCCTGGTCAGGGCTCCTGCAGGAGGCAACCAATTGATGTGTTTCTCTCACACTGATACATATTTCTCTCTGTCTTTCCCTCTCTCTTCCATGCTCTCTAAAATGGAAAAATATCCTCAGGTGAGGATTTTAAAAAAAGTCGTTGATCTTTGTGAGACTACTGTTATCGGATGAAGTGGGGGTTCTTTGCCCCAGTGGCTGCTGGGAGTGGAATCTTTAGATATCTTGAGAAAAAGAAGTGTCTGAGACTCGCATGGGAGAATGAATGTGTCTGCTTTATTTGTCTCAACTTGAAATTCTCACAATTGACTATATTTTGAGGGCAGGTCATTTTTTAATCCATCCTGTCCTCAAAGACCGCGAGGAAGGATGGGTACCTCTGGCCTTCAGTACGTGAAACTCTGGCTCTGAACCGCAGCAGTTGGGCCCGCAGGTGCATTGTGACGTCACGCTGGAGGCCCTGGGACGCTCTGTCACAATGGTCCTGGGTGACATCCAGCTGGTGCCTGGTCCTGACTGCCACTCTCTGTGCTGAGGGTTTAGCAGGAGAAGGTGCTAGTTGTGTGGCCACAAATCTTGGGATGGGGAACCTCGCCTCGTGTTGCGGAGGTATGTCCATGGGGGCCCAGGGAATGCTGTCCCTTCTAACGGGCGAGGAGACACTTCTCTCCATGTCTTCTCAGCATGTTCATTCCTTTCTTTACAGTTGTCATGTAGAGTGGTAAATATCTAGTGTCCTGCGATGTTCGGCACCCTCAGCTCTTAGAAAAATACTCATGGGGAAAATATGAAGTGGACTCCGGGATATTTCTGAAGTCCAGCTTTGACTCAGAGGGCACTTCTGGGAACCTCTTAAGCAGGGGTCCTCAAACTTTTTAAACAGGGGGCCAGTTCACTGTCCCTCAGACTGTTGGAGGGCCGGACTATAGTTTAAAAAAAAACTATGAACAAATTCCTATGCACACTGCACATATCTTATTTTGAAGTAAAAAAACTAATGTTTTTGGCGGGCCGCATGTGGCCCGCGGGCTGTAGTTTGGGACCCCTGCTTAAGCAACGGGTACTAAATATTGAACTGATAATGATTCCTAATTTCTCTCTGGTCTTGGACCAGCAGGGTGTCCATAGCTCTGTGTGGCGTGAATACCTTTCTCACCATCTCTCCTGATGGATTTTTCCTATAGGAGGATCTCCAAAAGCCCACGAAATCCAGTCTGTCCGGCAGGATTTCTACTGGCGAACAATCCAGGTCTACCCTCTGGATAAATCTGTAGAAGGTACTGTGGGAATTCCATCATTAACTTGATGCACTTTTAATAATTGCCACATATTCCATTTCCCATGTGTAAGAAAAACATCTATAAAAAGATTTTTCAGCTCAGCCAGCATGGCTCAGTGGTTGAGCATCAACCTGTGAACCAGGAGGTCAGGGTTCGATTCCCAGTCAGGGCACATGCCCTGGTGGCATGCTCCATCCCCAGTGGGGGGCGTGCAGGAGGCAGCCAATCAATGATTCTCTCTTATCATTGATGTTTCTCTCTCTCTCCCTCTCCCTCTCCCTTCCTCTCTGAAATCAATAAAAATACATTAAAAAATTTTTTTTCAACTCATACCATTACTTCCCTTCTTCCTTGCCATTTTTTCCACCCAGTACGATGACCCAGCAGTGGCTCATCCATACTTGGTACCCGGCCACCTCCCTACACCATGGCCCCTTGTCCACATTAGGCAGAGCTCCCTAGGAAACTCCTGGTGAGCAGCCACCAATGTACTGACCGTTGTTTTGTGTTCCCTTAGCCCCACCTGAGACCTTCTCGGAGGCACCTACTCAAGGAAAAAGAGCTGGTGTTCCGGTAAGGCCCCCTTCTTCCTGTTCTACTGAAAGGTTGCTCTTGTAGTGTCTCCCTTGTAAGTCCACTTCCAATATAAGAACCTGACAAGGTGAGGGTACAAGACATGCACACTGCCCTTGGTTCTGTGAGTGAGTGATGATTGGAAGTCTTCCACGGGCTCATAACCGATAGAAGGAGACATCTTAAAGTGATAGCACCCAGGACGTAAAGTTACAGCCTAGGGCAGTGATGGCGAACCTTTTGAGCTGGGCTTGTCAGCATTTTGAAAAACCCTAACTTAACTCTGGTGCCGTGCCACATACAGAAATTTTTTGATCTTTGCAACCATAGTAAAACAAAGACTTATATTTTTGATATTTATTTTATATATTTAAATGTCATTTAACAAAGAAAAATCAACCAAAAAAATGAGTTCGCGTGTCACCTCTGACACGCGTGTCATAGGTTCGCCATCACTGGCCTAGGGAATGTAGTCAATTACGTTGTAAAACTATGCATGCTGACCCGAGGGTACTAGTCGTACTGGAGTGATTGCTTGTATGGTACATACATGTCTAATCACTATGCTGTAACCTGGAGCTAGTCCAATATTTTTTTAAGCATAAGTTTGATTTGGGGGCAAGGAGACTTGTCATGTATGACCTTCAGTTCTGTTAGGTTTTACACTGCTCACTCTACTTACATTAGCATCTTATAAGCAGGAGTTTTCTTTTAATCAACGCTATTGTCCAATGAGAACACAGAGGCTCATACATGATATGATTTGGATAATGATACTAATACAGGAATGCAGAGTGTCCGTTTGGGATGGTGAAAAAGTGCTGGAGATGAATGGTTGTGATGGTCACACAACAATGTGAATGTCCTTAAGGCCACTAAACTGTACACTTTACAATGAGCCCAGATGGTGTGGCTCAGTGGTTGAGCATCGACTTATGAACCAAGAGGTTACGTTTCGATTCCTGGCATGGGCACATGCCTGGGTTACAGGCTCAATCCCCAGTGGGCCCTGAGGACATGGAGTAGAAGGGAACAGAGACAAAGGACAGAATGCCCTGGCTGGGTGGCTCAGTGGGTTGGAGAGTCATCCCCTACACCAAATGGGTGTGGGTTCAATTCTAGGTCAGGCACATACCTAGGATGCAGGTGTGATCCCCGGTGGGTAGGTGCGTATGGGAGGCAACCAAT